ATTTTATACACAGGATACGCTATCCTTGTAATAACTGAAAGGAAATAATGAGCAATATGAAAAAGTTTTGGAATAGCATGGATTTTTGAATATAACAGCACAAGGTTTTCACTTGTTTATGTAGTTATCATAGATTGAGGCGGAATTCTGTTCAATGGCTGCCCAAATCACAATGATTTCAGTAGCTATATGGCCAAAAATAAACAAAAATACTGTAAAACAAAAAAAATCTTAAGCTACGTTGTATGGCAGCTTATACTTTTAGATCTAAACCTCAAGAACTCAGCTGATCTTTAGAGCTTTTTCTAATATGCACTAGCTTAAAAATATTGAAAATAAAAGCCAAACTGATTTACACCCTGGTGATAAAAGTGAGAACAACTTTCCTATTGACTTAAGCCATGTCCTGAACTGCTGTTAGTGTTTCACATCACAGCTCTGCAATCATGAATCATTTAATCATCACAAAACAAAGAGCCCTTTTCATGGAAAACAGTTTCACATGCACACATGCAAGATCATTCATTTTTACAGCAGAGGCTGTATACTGTTCACTTTCACTAAGAAATATACAAGTCACACACCTTTTCAAGGCTGAGTTTTAGGCTCACTTACAAGAAAAGAAACATTGATTGTATTGATATATTCACATGGAAAGTCATGGAACTGCACCAGTTTACACCAGAGGAGCGCTTGGCCTGGAGTTTACAGACAGTTTTCCAAGCACGTATACTGAGTTACCAGCTATTGCATAATTTGTAGCATAAACAATATGTCATCAAATAGGGCAATTGTTTCAGCAGAGCATGTGCTGTTTCTGGCTTGCTTGGACAGGATTACAGCTCCTGCACCATACCAAATCCCTAGGTATCCTGAATCTCAAAGAACTACTCTTTCAAAATTGCTGGGTTTTTCTATACAGCAGCTCAGTAGGGTCCTCGCTACTACTATTTCTGAAATAGTGTCATGTGACAAACTTGTCAGATCAATCCTGCTGCAATAAATGATGTAATCTATAATGGAAAATTTTTGTAAATAAAATTTGGTAAACTGCACACTAATACTTTTGGTTCCAGATTATCATGTCCTATATGGGATACAAAGATTTCTATCGAAATGTTATGATTTCATATATGTGTTAGACAAAAAATTACAAATGTGATGATTGTTAATATGAAAAATACAGAAAATAAAAAAACTTTACTCCATCAAATACAAATATTAGATTTCAAAGCCAAAGGTTTTTTGCAAAATTTCACTGGAAGTCTTCAAAAAGAAGAACAGGAGTACTTGTGGCACCTTAGAGACTAACAAATTTATTAGAGCATAAGCTTTCGTGGACTACAGCCCACTTCTTCGGATGCATCCGAAGAAGTGGGCTGTAGTCCACGAAAGCTTATGCTCTACTGAGTCGGAGA